GGTACATCATGATGCGTGCTAAAAACACGACACAATTTTGTCTGCGGTTGGTCTTGATTACAGAGACAGAAGGAAACATAACATAATTGCATATGGGCGTTTGCAATTCCCATCATCACAGTCCGGTGATCAGATAATATCGCGGTAATTCGCGCTTAAAAGTGATAGAAATACTTTCTTTTCATAAACACTGTGAATTTTAAAGGTTCCAAGGAAAGATGATTCTTTATTTCCATATTACTCCGAAAACTTTGCATTTTCAGAATTCCCCAAAACGAAAAAAGAAATTACACAGCCTGCGACAATAATAAAAAGAATGGCAACGCTAGCATCTCAAGGCAGTGATCGACATGTATACAGGGCATCTTGAAAGTTGGGGGTTTCCTCTTCAGAAACAAATTTGGAATTTCAATGTTCATACGCGGTAAGACATCACCGAAAACGTAAAAAAGAAAATGAATAAAAATACTCACTAGTTATTGGATACGGCATTTTAACTGCTGTCCTGGCTCATGCAGTAATAATCACTGCTTGAAATTGTTGCTGTTCTATTCCACACGATTTTGATTAGGCACCATATACGACGTCTATAAATTAAGTGGTGAGACTGGCGACGTAGCATTTAATCTGGCAACACTGGAGGCGCCGGGATTGGAGGAAGAAAGAGAACAATTGATCAGTCTTCAATACAAATTTGAACTGGCTCTAGCCATTTAGCGATCTCTTTGTGAAACAATTTTTTCTATTGTGTTCTAAAAATGAGTCACTTGATTCAGAATTGGGCATAATGCAAGCAAAACTCTTGCTAAACATGCCTACCGAGACAGTGTTTTGTCAAGAGCCCAGGTTTTTCGGTATTTTTTTCAGAAGGGAGAAAGTCGATTGAAGATGAACCACGAAACCGATGAAAATATTGACAGAATCTGGGATCTTGTGCATTCGGATCCTCAGTTGACAGTCAAGATGATCGAGGAGGAGTTAAAATTGACACCACGGTTCATCAGATCAAGAACAACTGGGTGCTGCATTATTATAATGCAATTTCAATAAACGAGTTTTTGGTCAGTAGAAATACCTCTGTGTCTCCTTCTGACTTTTTTCTCTTCCCGAAGTTGAAAAACCACCTCAAGGAAACTCATTTTTTGACAGTCGAAAGCATTCAAATGGCTGTAACCTGTAACCGATCAGCTAAAGGCTATTCCAGTATCGCTATGAGGAGTGTGAATAAAAAAAATAAAAAAAAATCAGACTCATCACAGCAGTTTACTGACCCGGTAAACAAATCACGACGACGACGTTCTGTATAGTTAAATACTCTCAAAGAGTATCAATATGATCTCGGAGACGGTCACAGTAAACTAACATCAAATCGATAACTACGTTTTTGCTGTAGGAATGAGACAATGTCGCTTTTCAAATGGAATTTGTTCACAAATTGGGTTAACCTACACACCACGCGGCGTCTGATTTGGGTACTGACCAACATAGTCATAGTAGCACAAATCTTTGACGTAGGAGGGCAAGGAAGCAGGGTGGAAATGACTTATCTCGATTATCTTGAGGCTTCCGCATATAAACCTTAGGAAAAACCATTGTTAAACATGGGAAATCATTTCTTGGCAACAGCGCATCGGCTCGTCTACTTTCATCGCTATTCGTACATATTTCCTACCGTTAACGCGCGTGCCGTCGTCAAGTGCGATAAGGGATTCATGACTCACTCTGCGGTTGGGTTTTGTGTAGGAAAGGTGCGTCTTTATTTAATCCAAAATATCTTAAAAATGTACTCGCAAGAAGAAAAGTTTCAAATGATAGAATGGTACATCCAGAATAATTCAGCACGCGCGGCTGTTGAATTATTTGCGGTACGCTTCCCAGATCGGCCAAGTATCTGAGCCATGCTCAAGCAGAAAAATTGCTGAAATGGTACCAATAGCCGATCTCACACCCAGAACAACAAGAAATATTTTGCATCGCAACGGCTATCATAGCTTCAAGGTTGGAACGGTTCAAGAAATATTTCCTTTAGACAAATACCGTCGAATGGAGTTTTGTGAAACGGTCATGGAGAAGGCGAACAGGGATGGAAGTTTTGTTGGTAACATTTTGTTTACTGATGAATCCACATTCCCTCTCCACGGAACTCTTACGGCTGCAAAATATTTGGCGTTACTACAGACGCAGATTGTTCCTGCAATTAGGCAGCTTGGCATTGATCTCGCTAATATTTGGTTCCAACAAGATGGATGCCCGGCGCATAATGCGGCGATCGTACAAACTTACCTTGAAAGTGTGTTCGGCCACCGGATTATTGGCGGTAACGGAACAATAAAATGGCATCCTATATCACCCGATCTAGCGCCCAATAATTTTTTCTTGTGGGGTTATGTAAAAAGTACTGTTTACACTTTCAATGAGAGAGCAGACAATTTGCATAACCTACAGGTGAAAATCGTTAAAGCGCTCGGGCAAATACAGCCTTCTACCCTCTTGAGAGTTCGTCAGGAGTTTTATAACCGCCTGACATACTGTTCATTGAATGAAGGAGACGTTTTTGAGCCCCAGCTGTGAAGGACCATTTGAAACATTTGTGTTCATTATTGCGTTTTATTTTTGAGAACTTTTATTTTCGTTACACATTTTTAAGAGTGTACTATTTTTTGTTAGAGTGGGTATCTTCTTATTTTTGCTATGAGACGCAACCTTTATTGCTACAAAACCAATTATCCATTCACAAAAATAAGTAGAGTGATTTAGGTGATTTCGTGAAATCTCGAAATCACCGAAATCGGTTTACAGGACGTCCAATCGAACTGGTGCGTAATGCGCGCATCTACTGTACTTCTTCTATCGACTCAACGCATACTGAGATTTGCAGCAGACCGCAGACCTGTATCACGAATGAGAATAATAGGCAGATACGCTGTGTTGCCAATTTGAGTAGAGCTTCCCGAATTGTGGGGAATTTAGAGTTAAGTGTTGATTCATTCAAGTTTTTAATCAGCATGAACTTCATGAAGATAACATTGAAGCTGAATGCTGCTGGAGTATAGTGTTTCGAATATTCAAAGCGGAGCGGGACCCTATCCTCGTTCAATGGGTCATCAAGCCACAGTCTTTTCAACAAAGAAATTATTTTACGAAAATGCGTTATATTTTTACGATTTTGTCGTCACCAAATCTCTGTTTCTCAAAATGTACGTCTATTGTAGAATTTTCAGCAAACTAAGCAAGAAACGTGATCTAGGATTTACTCAACATTACGGATTTCTCGAAATACATTAAAAAATGTGACCTAGATACCTAACTGCCCCAAGCTCTTTAAATATAACACCTTAAACCAGGGTTACCAGGTGCTCAGTCACGTTGATTGTCATGTTGTACTGCGCAAGTCAGCAAACAATCTGGCGTAATAAACGTTAGGAATCATCAGGTATTGCCAGATTCCCGAATACCGGGCACCATAGTACCCGTTATAGTTGTCCTTCAAAGTTGTCAAATCGCCCCTATGGCGCAAATTCGCCACACCAGGCAACTGTGCTATAAACAAACCCTGTTTATCACTACTATTTGAGGGTCATATGGTAGTTGTAGCCCTATCTAGCGGTCCACGATTTCTCTCAATACTGTTGTATCTCTACTGGCAACAAGAATAGGGATTACAAAATCATTTATACAACAATATACAAACATGAAAAATATCATTTGAACCATGAAACATTAATACAATTTTAATAGTTTGAACATTTTTCATTTATGGAATACTCTTATGTGGAATCCGCAGCTATTTTTCTCGAAATTTGGGTAGACTTAGATTTCTTAGAAATAATGCTAGTCGTTTTAATATACAGGGTGTTTCAGAACTATGGGATCAAACCTGTAGGGTTATTCAGTGTAACAGTAGAAAACATTTGAGTATAGGGACCCATGTCTGGCGCTTGTGTGTTGTTATCTGTAAAAACGATAACTGAGATTGTTTTTTGTAGCTGCATTCCATATCGCCTTAGTCGTGCTATCGTATTTGTGAAGTTTGCAAGAATTTACCAAAAATTAATGGTTTAGTTTATTGCTATTCATCGGCAGCTCTCCGAGACAGGCATGCTTAAAAGCAACATGCATGATATTGCTGTTGCTCGAACCGTAAGGACGGACGAATTTGAAGAAGAGGCCCTTCAGCGAGTTGCCGACGAACCATCAAGTAGCACATGCCACATTGTTGAGGATATGAATACGAGTAACGCTTCCGTCTGGCGGGTGCTACACGAGCAACAACTTTACCCTCACCACATCCAGAAAGTTCAAGAATTGACTGCAGCCGTTTTATGGACCGATGAAGCCTCTTTTACAGGAGACGGTATTTTTAATGGCATGAATAGCCCCGTTTGGGACAAAGAAAATCCCCATACAGTTTTTCCTAGAAAACATCAGCAACTTTGGTCTGTCATCGTATGGGCACTGTTGATGATTATTTGATTGGGCCATACATTCTACCGGAACGGTTAACAGGGCCTATTTACCGGCGTTTCTTCCATAACTTCTTGAATGTTCGACAGTAAATGTGGTTTCAGCATGATGGAGCGCCGGCTTACTTTGCTGTACAACTACGTGAGTATTTGGGTCAGCGATTCGGGCACCGTTGGATTACCAGAGGTGTAGCAGTTTCTTGGCCTCCTAGGTCACCCGATTTAACGTCGTTAGATTTTTTTCTGTGGCGACATGTAAAGCCATTGGTTTACGAAACTACAGCAGAAACAGAGCAAGTCTTAACAGGACAAATTACAGCAGAATTTGAAATCATTCAAAACGAGTATCAAATGTTTAGTCAAGTCCGCCGAAATCATGTGCGACGTTTAAATCGGTGTATTCCGGTTGGAGAAAGACAATTCGCTCACCGGCTGCAATAGCGGCACAAATCAAAAAAAACCAAAATCGTACTTTCAATCGCGAATCATCCATCAATATTCACTTCATCTCCTGCAATACTGGCACAACCGTATATTGAGATAGAAACCGCTAGATGGCACTTGTGCCGTTTCCGAATTTTAGTTGATCTTCCTTGCATCTACGGGCAATACCGACACATCTACCCAGTAGCGTGCCAGTAGCCTTGCGGAAGTTGTGTGGGACGTACGTAATAGTGACACTTAAGGCTGAAAACCGTCATTTTCCTGAATCCTATTTTGTGCAGGTAAGCAATAGCGACATATTTCAAGATGTGCCTTCATTGCATCAAAGTAGTGGACAAATTTTATTTACACTGGTAAGCAATAATAGCATAATTCGAAATGTGCCTTTCTTGTACCTAGATAGTGGTCAAAGCATATTTATGCAAGCTATCACTAGTGGCATATTTCGAAATATGCCATTATTGCACCCAAACTGTGGTCAAATTATATAAGCGAATACGGTAATATTGCGATATGTGCCATTCTTGCATTGTATGTTATGCTACAAAACTGATAAGTATTTTCCAAAGCCTACGCAAACAGAAATCTGTTTTGTATGATGTAGCTTATTTTTGTGGCTGAAAAGTAATGACAAAAATTGCTCTCGCAATTTTGAAAATTGTTTGTGTCTTTATGATGTTTATTGATCCATTTTAAAGAAATTTATAGCATTCAAGTATTAGTAGTATACATTGTTTCAGTTATTGTCGGGTACAATGGAAAAAACGAGGAGCGCAAAAATGCTCTCTATGGTAGGGATCAAATTAAAGAAAGGACCCACCAGCGAAGAGTGGAAGATAGTACCTCAAGCTACTAATGCAGACTCAACCAGCGTAACGCCTAAAAACATAAAACGAGCTTCAGAAAGTGAAGCGGACAAAGAAAACACATCTCCACAAGTCCCGGAAGCTTCTGTTAGGAGTAAGAAATTTGAAAAAGATGGTGATTGCAAGCTTGTTGAAAACCAAATAGTAGAGGAACTAGGCGTAGGAAGTCTTTTTTAGATGGAGAGTCATGTGCTACAACTACGCAAGAGCTCTCGGAGGCGGAAGAAAGCAGAGACGAAATTGGAACTGGACAAGAGCAGTTGAACTTAGAAGATCCTTTTTCATCTGACGATTCAATAATGGATCCTGACTATGAAGAACCAGTTGTATCACAACATTCTCAATGCCCGACGGAATCATGCACAGAGAAAAAGAAGAGTAGGAAGAGAAAAGCAGAGCCCTGTGAATGGAAAAAAAATAAAACAAAGCTATTAAGGAACAGAGGACAAGAATACCACACCTTAAACAAGAATAAACCAGTATCTAGTAGACAAATGACACAACCCTGTGACGGCGCTTGCAAGCTAAAATGTACAGCAAAATTCACTGAAGAGGATAGGAAGTTCCTGTTCACCAAGTTCTGGAATTTAGCCAATATTAACAAACAGAGGGTGTTTATTGCTACTCTGATGCAAGAAATCACACCAAAATACACGTATCCCATTATAATCAATGGCAAACGAAAACGAACTAATAATAATTCGTTTCATTTGGAAAAAGGAGAAGAGAAACTTAGGGTTTGCAAGAAATTCTTCACATCACCTTTTGGCATCAGCAATCGCTGTATTCGGAGTGTCATATCGAAAAGAGCTGAAGGTGATTTTGAAGACAAAAGGGGGAAACATGGTAATCAAACCCGAATATCTGATGAAATTAAAAATGATGTTCGTGCTCATATTGCATCAATACCTCAAATAGAGAGTCACTATACAAGAGCTCACAGTGAGAAAAAATACATAGAAGGTAGTAAAACTATCACTGATTTATACAGAGATTACAAAAAAGATTGCGTTGCTAGAGGTAAAGCAACGGCAACACTGACTATGTATAGAAACATATTCAATTATGAATTTAACCTAGCATTTTTCATTCCTAAAAAAGATCAATGCCACACGTGCGTTGCCTATGGCAACGCAAATGAAGGGGAAAAGAAAGAATTAGAAAAGCTATATGAGCAACACCAAAATGAAAAAAAATTAAGCAGAGCAGAAAAACTAGCCGACAAAGAAAAAGTCAGTGATAAATACCAGGTTTGTTGTTAAGACTTACAAGTTGTTCTGCCATGTCCTCAAGGAGATGTTTCTGACTTTTATTATAAATCAAAACTGTCGACGTATAACTTCACTATGTGTGATTTGAATAAAACGGGACAGGGACAAGTGCTGTGTTTCATGTGGCATGAGGGTCAAGGAAGACGCGGGTCTAATGAAATTGGTTCATGCTTACTAAAATACCTTGAATACAAGGCTTCTGTTCAAGAAAATGTAGAAGTAGTTTTTTATTCTGACAACTGCGCTGGACAGCAAAAAAAACAAATTTATTCTCGCTGCATATTTTTATGCATTATCAAAATACAACATAAAATCAATTACACACAAATACCTTATAACAGGACATACGCAGAACGAAGGCGATAACGTTCATTCGGTTATTGAAAAACATGTTAAACGTGCCCTGAAATCAGGTCCAATATATACACCTGACCAGTACGTATCACTGGTTCAGACAGCCAAAAAGACTGGATTACCTTACAAAGTCCAAGAAATGAGCTACGCCGATTTTGTAGATCTAAAAAAGTTATCTGAACAGACATCTTTTAACTTTAAGAAGGACTCTTCCGGTGAGGTTGTAAAGCTGGATAATGCAGCCATCATAAGGATAGAAAAAGAAAATCTAGATAAATTTTTATACAAAACTTCTTATAGTGAGCCTGAATATAGAGTTGTTGAGATTAAACAAAGAACTACCCGAACAAATCAAACTTTCGATAATGTGAAGTTGGAACCGGCTTATCGAGATATACTTCCGATATCAAAAAAGAAGTACGATGGACTGATGTTCCTGTTACGCATGAATACTATAAAGAAATGTTATAGCCCATTCTATAACAGCCTTAAAGTATCTAACGATGTCGATTAGTTTCTCTTTAAAACTTCTGTATCATAAAATTATTAGCTAGAATTTAAGTTGCGCGTACCTTTCATTTCCAAAAAAGTTACAGGTTCATTTGTTTCAAAAGTACATTGTTTAGTTCTTTATAAGATTTTTTGTATCGCATTTTAATGTGCAGGTTCTGTTGTTGAGCGATAATTAAAATTTTGAAAAGTATGATACTGAGTATTTACCATGCTCCAACTCCAAAAATGACAACAATTATGTTCATAAAACGGCACAAGTCAAAATTTAAAAAAAACAAAATGTCATATTTAAAAGAGAACTCAAATTCTGATTGATATTATGTATTGTAATGCCAATGCCAGAAAATCCGTATGAAAGCGAGATCACCTAAGAGTCACGTTACACGCCAAAATAATTAAATTTGTTTTGGCTATTCTTAAACCAGCTATATCTCGAAATTATATAGTTTTGATTTGTGCCAATGTTGCAGCCGGTGAGCGAATTGTTGTGATGATATCGTGTACAAAATTCAAAAATTAAATGCATTAAATCCTATTTAGGCAATTCATCGTCTTTCTAAATTTTAACGCGTCTTAGGGCCGGATACTCAAATGTTTTCTACTGTTACACTGAATAACTCCTAGAAGTTTGATCCCATAGTTCTGAAACTGTATACTCGTACATGGAAATTATGTGAAACACCGCCATTTAAATGTGGGTAGTATAAAAAGATGCAGTGAAATAATACAAACCTTTAAAATAGCAGTAATAGATAAAGCACATATTAAAATTTTAATCTTTTCTGACTTTTTGATATCCTTACAAAAGAATTGAAAACTGCTTTAAGCCCTGTAAAGGTAGGTACTCTTATTTTGGTGCAACTTTGGCTTGCAACTGGAATGAGTATCTTCTGGTGGAATATGGTAATATTTTTTTTGACAGTACTGTCAAATCGATAGACCTGCTAAAGCCCTTAAGTGGCACCACTGCTAATAACGAAATCCTACCTTAATACTCGTTCAGCGGCGTTCCGGCGAAACGCTGAACATAATTAAAGAGGGCTGACCGACGACAGAGAAAAGGGTAGAAGTGTGGAAAAGTCGGCCAAGCAAGGATTTTTGGGTTCCACTGTTGTCGTCTACCCTCCACTTCATCCGAAGGAATTTACCTGAGGGATTTGCATTCATCATCATTGGAGGCAACTGTTTGCTATGCTAATTGGCGCGTTCAAAGGATTTTAAGGGAAGGGACGCTTTATTGGGATAATAATGGAAACGTGCAGATGATAATATTATAGCTACCCTACCAAGTCAGAAGTACAGCTTTGACGAATTAAGGAAATCAGTAGCTGGCTTTTACTTCCTGCATAACGAGGACTGATTTACTTGTAAGGAAGCAGCAGGGCTGGTAAAAGGTGCGTGAGGTAATGGGAGTTCAGGGTATGCCATTTAGAATATGTTGATGGAGCTTGAAATGGCTGGAATTTTAATAAGCGGTACAACACATATATGGGAAAAATGTGTGGTTCAGCAGCGTTACCAGAAGGTCGATGCTTTGTGCAAGGAAGGAACTAGCGTTAGCATTACACTGGATAACAAATTTTAGTTTTTTAATTGTATCTTGTGGGAAAAGTGCACTTCTTTGTTAATTTTGGGGCGCTGAATCAAAAAATGACAATGAAATAAAAAAATTAGTTGCGGTTTAGAAAAAACTTTTTATTTTTGAGGATATATTAAAAAAAGTAACAAGATTCATATACTTATAAGAATCACCATAAGCGCTGTCTTTTTGCTGTTCTTTTATGGATCGTTTCTGGAGCATCTCTACCAAGAGTCCAACAGTAGTCTGCAAGCATGGAAGGATTTCACTTTCCCTGGTGCCTTTTTTCCATTGTTGAAATATCCTGATGAAAACGTTCGCCGTGCTCATCACTTACGGCTCCGCAATTGTCAGGAAAAAAGTCCAGGTGTGAGTGTAGGATATGTATCTTAAGAGAAATATTACAGCCCATCTTTTGATACGATGACAGCATATTTTTGACAAGGGTTTTATAGTTGTCAGCTTTTCTATTTCCCAAGAAATTAGTGACCACCAGATGGAAATCATTCCAAGCAGTTTTTTCAATACCTGTTAGTGTTTTCAAACTGTGTATCTTTCAAAATATTTCGAATCTGTGGCCCAACAAAAATACCTTCTTTAACCTTTGCCTCACTTAGCCTTGGAAATTTCTGACGCAGGTATTGAAAAGCTGACCCATCTCTATCTAATGCCTTGACAAAGTTTTTCATTAGGCCCAACTTGATACGCAGTGGTGGTAATAAAATTTTTTTCGAATCTACTAATGGCATATGCTGTACATTTTTTTGACCTGGCTCTAGGAATTGACGAACAGGCCAGTTTTGTCTGGTGTAATGAAGTGCCTTTGCCCGACTGTCCCATTCACACAAAAAACAGCAAAACTTTGTGTAGCTTAGCTGCAGCCCAAGTAAAAGTGCAACAATTTTCAAATCGCTACAAATATGCCATTGGTGATTGATGATTCTTTCATGTGAACTGCATACCCTACAGGAAGAGATGGTAAAATATTTCCAATATGCAATAACACTGCCTTTAAACTCAATGTTGAACTGTCTATAAACAATCTCCATTCTTCTGAGTTATAGTTTATATTTAAAGCCGCCAGTAAGCCGTTAATGTTACTGCAGAAAACCAAGTTATTCTCCATATTGAAAAATGGTTCTAAGTCTTTGTGGCGTTTACGAAAAACACATACCGAAACATCGTCTTCTAACAAGTTCCACTGCTGCAGTCTTGATCCAAGTAACTCTGCCTTACATTTTGGAAGTTCTAAATCTCTTACAAGATCATTTAATTCTGACTGTGTTATTTTGTGCGGTTAGTGGCATGATGTGCTCGGTATAATATCAGGATCTCTTGACGTTGATGGCATATCTTCTTCCTGACGAATCACTCGATCTCCATGATCTGATTCGTTTTCTGATTCGCAAGTGTAGGATTCTGGGGGTTTTGGAATAGGATTTTCGTCACTGTGAGGCACAGGTCTCATCGCAGATGGTATGTTTGGGTAGTTAATAAACGATTTTTTTTTCTTGGACATACCTGTGGCTTGTC